TGAAAACAATGCATTCCAACTTTGGGGTGGAGACACCTAGACTGCACAAGTATTGTACTTTGACCCTGATGTTACGTGTAAACAACTAGATAACCATCATCATTTTCTCATGGGAATAAAAAGATATGAGCAAAAGGCTATTGTTTTCTGCTGCTTTCTGATTGGCTTCACTACCCAAGGTTTGAATGTATTGTTTTTATTCTACAATTTGATTGGTTCTCGCTGTCTAAATGGCCCAGGTTATAGTATTCACACTGTAAAACCCACTTTATACTGTGAGCTACTGCCTGAAGTCACAAGTGACGCAAATAGGATATAAACCCCTTGCATGTGATATCAAAGCAGCTCCTTCAGGGGGACAAAACAAAAGAATTCCAATCTCTTGAAAATTGGAACCTATAGACTGTTTTCTCTAGGTTGTGTGCGCATCTAACTTGACGGGCCACAAAATTGAAAAATACAAATTCAGTAAAAAGACAGAGGAAAATATTCTAATTGATTTTATGAATTCTTATCAAAAAAAAAATTCATAGCATTGCATGATAATACTCGTGTTCTGGTATCATCACCTGTCAATAGGTCGTCAATAGTTCCTTAAATTTGGATGCTCATGAACCTTTGAGAAAATAGTCTATCGTTTTGTCCTCCAGATTGAGCTGCATTCCATGCATTCTGCATGCAGTGCTGCAAGGGGTCTATATACTAGTGGTCTCTCCATTTTTAACTGCAAATTTTGTTTTGGCCTGGTTAAAAGAATGCTCATGCACCAACCTGTCATTCAAGCCGTCCTGCAATAGTTGTACTCTCAGAGCAATACTCAATGACTGGATCTTGACCTTCTCACCAATGATCCTGTAGGCAACTTTACGGACAGCTTCAGTTATGTCATGGGTTCTCCCTTTAAAGTTCGAAACATTTCACATTAGGCCAAACAAAAAAAATAAGTGTGTTTCCTGTTGCATGAGAAAGATAATTGGGGTCGGAAGGTTGGATTTTTTTTTACTGATACAACAGTGGAAATGAGCTTACTGGGAACCCTGTGGTGCAGTTGGGAATGGAAAAAATTTTGGGGTGGGCAAAAATGGGCAAGAAAATTAGGGTCAGTCAGCCTTATTTTTATGACGGTAGAAATACTAGAAAAAGAGATGAATTGAATCTACCAAAAATGCAGATTAAAGACCGGACAGCTATCATTTGCCTTTCGAGGTGCTAAGTCGTATAATGATCTCCCAGATGATATTAAGCAAATTAGTGACACAAAACACTTTAAGAAGAACTTATTTAACTGTTTATTGAACTTGTAGAGATTTCCCCTTTTATTAATTACCATTATACTTAAAATTTTTAAATCTCATAATAGTATTTTATAATTTTTTATTTTTTTGCTTATTTTTAGTATTTTTTGTATTTATAGCGGAAGAGCTATAATAATAAAGTATGTAATAAAGTATGTATAACTGTAAATATTTTTATTTTCACCTCGGGGGTCTTGGATTTGATTTCTGGACTCAGCATTACATGAGCATAGAGTTTGTTTGGTCTCTATTGGTTTGAGAGTTTTGCTTTGGGTTCTCTGACTTTAGTACCTAATGCAAAAGCCTACAAGTTGATTTTATGCATTTGAAAGTTAGTATACATGTACTCACCAATAACCGGTGTAAGACTTCGACGAGTTAAAGCAATGTTCATTAAGACTGCTTTGCGGACGTCAGCACTTGAATCAGTTGTCATCATTTGCATATATGATGAAAGGACAGGACAGTCATCATCTCTTGGGTCCTGTAGTCTGGATAGCGCATAAACAGCTTGGATTCTTATAGCTGGGATCTTGTCTTTTAAACGTTTCAGCATGCTTGTTAAGATACCATCTGCAATGTCGTCATCAATTGACGCATCATCGTCCATATTGTTCAGTAGTTTGTTGATTAGCTGACATGATCGGAAGCGAACTCCTTTGTCTTTAGCGTCATGGCAGTCAAGGAGGAATTTGAACATGAACTGAAGGAATGGGTTGGTTGGTTCCGAATCAGAGTCATCTTCATCATCACTGATGTTGTCACCCTGAAATATTATTAATATTATTATAACATGGATATCAATACAAAATGACTTTCAATCAAATATCAATTTTATCAAAACCCTGAAACAACCCCTAGGCTGATCTAAGTCAGGGCACGGCTAACTCAAAGATAGAACCCTGCAACAACCTCTGGGATGATCTAAGTCAGGGCATGGCTAACTCAAAGATAGAACCCTGCAACAACCTCTGGGNGGCTAACTCAAAGATAGAACCCTGCAACAACCTCTGGGATGATCTAAGTCAGGGCATGGCTAACTCAAAGATAGAACCCTGCAACAACCTCTGGGCTGATCTAAGTCAGGGCATGGCTAACTCACAGATAGAACCCTGAAACAACCTCTGGGCTGATCTAAGTCAGAGGGCACAGCTAACTCACAGATAGAACCTTGAAACAATCTTTGGATTAGATCAAACTGTCTCATGCTAAGCATTACTTATACAATATTAACTTAGAGAGATTACAATCTATTTGTACATGGTGTGAATCATCGTTGTCGTTGTAGTGACAACATTCGTAGTATGAAAATTTTAAAGTAAAAAAGCCATCAACTTTACCTTCTCAGGGGCTTTTTCATAATATATCTTTGCAGTTGAATATTTAGCAACAAACTCCGCAATTCTCTCTACTGCAGGTTCTCTTTTAAACACGATCATCGCGTATCTCAAGTGATCAAGAAAACATTCTCGGAATTCTTCTTCAGAAGAAAACGAATTTTGGATTCTTTTTAAACACCGTATAAGCTTCCCATGGTGTTGAAAACCACGCTGGGACTCCTCAAATACCTCCCTTACAGTTTTACAGTCGGAAGGCATTGCTAGGATGGTTAAAATGAGATATTTTTCGTCGAAAATCAAGAAAAGAGTCTGAAAAATAAACGTATTGTTTGAAAAATGGCGCCCAAATGACACCCTAGACCCGGTCTACCTGGGTCAAGCTCTACCACAGGAATCCCAGTCAAACGCAGTCACTTGTAAATATTTTGAGTGCCCTTTTTTGGGCTATTTTACGATGGGGGCTCTTTTTCTCGTATATTTGAGTTAATTCGAATGATTGTTGAGTTAATTGTTGTTTTCACATACAATGATAATGCATATGCACAGTAAATATGGTACCACCTTCTGAAAGACAGCTTACCATTGCCTTCTACTAACTCGCCCAATCACAATGCATAATTATGGCAGGGTACAGTTTGAATAAACATTTGCCATATCATTTCCCACTCAAATTTTAGTAGAGTAAATTTTATTGTTTTGTCCTCTGAATAGATCTCCTTGGCTTGGTCGCACTCAGGCATACTACGGATCTCACCGAACTGTGACGACGTCAAAAATTTGTCTCGCTACCACACCCTAATTTGTCCACTGACACACCTACTTTGTTACTGTTTCAGATCTAGCACATTGCCAGTAAGGTATTCACTGTAATACATGTAACACGAAAGTAGGCGTGACAGTGGACGAATTAGGGTGTGGTAACAAGACAAATTTTTGACATGTCGCCACATCTCGGTGAGATCCACAGTAATGTTTTCCCATTTCAAACTATGTGTCATTCCCTAGAGTATCATTTTTTTGTTTAAGGGTTGCACATGAGAATAAAACATGAATATGGATACAACTCAAACAAAGAATCTTATTCTCAAGGGAATGACACATGGTCTGAAATGGGAAAACTTTACGCCTGAGCAGAGGTCTATTAGGCTGCATTGAGAATACCCTGCTGCAAGGGTTCTATCCCCTTTGCCAATATTTTGATTTGGACTGTTATCATTCTACCACCAATAGACCAGTTTCGAATTCCAAATTACCGCTGTGTTCCTTGATTACAGATTCATTTGCACAGGGTTAGCCTCTTCGTATCAGTGTCTAAATATTCACAAATACCAAAGGTAAAGTAAAGAATGCACAACTTCAACAATACAAACACTTTGAAACTCGACGGACCTTGACTGGAACACGTGAATATTCTGCACAAACTCGAGGCTAACCCTGTGCAAATGAGTCTGTAATCAATAAACACAGTGGTAATTTGGAATTCGAAATGGGTCTATTGATCCCCACCCCCAGTATTTTGACAAGTTACCATTAGACCGAGAGTGCAGGGAAATTTTATTTATCGATATGATTTATCATGCATAATACAAAATAAAATGTAGCAAATAATAGAGTGACAAACTATTTTCTTATTCTACTGCAGTTTATGAAAAATCACACTTTCATTTCAAAGGCAAGATCGGTTGGTTTATTTCTTAACTTTCTTTCTCAAAATACTTAACATTTAGACCCAATGAACAAATGATCTACAAGTCAATAGCTCATGAGGTCAAAAGCAGAATGGCCTATTGACTCGTACACCATGAGATCGAGAGGTCTAATTGTTTTAGTCTTAACCTACTAAGCAGTCAATTAAATGGATACAAACAATTTTGAAATTAGGTGAAAACAATAGTTCACCACCATTGTTTTGGTTTTCAAAACTTGCACTTTTTGCTACTAGTAGTCTACTAGTAGACTACTAGTGGCTCAGCCAATCAGAGTGCTGGATTTGTGTTAGACCATTAGTAGGTTTAGACTAAATGTATATATTCTGGTGACTTGTTATGAAGTCTTTCTAGCTGTACTTTACACGTAATTCAAATCAGCCCATCATTATAGAGTACTTCATACATACACAGTGAATGAAAATAGCTTAAGCAAAAGATTAATTAAATTGCCAAGCTGGGATACCTTGATATGTTTATATAAGGGTACATGATTCCAGTAATCATATTCTGGCATTCAAAGCCATCCTTTCAGACAAAATGTCATGTGGCTTTAAAAAATCCTAGCTTTGGTTCTTGTAATAATATGACCATGAATACATGTTGGGCATTTGCACTGTATAATGTCGAGTCTTTGGAGTATTGCCAATAAACTTGTTAACTATTGTTTAAGCATTTTGAAGTCTACTAGTTAGCTACAGGAGTTGGTTGAGGGAGAATTACTTGAATAACAAATCCTTTTTGTATTTTTGCATCTTCAATTGTCATTTTATCAGTGAGCATTCGACCAGCATAAAACCATCTTTGCTTTGAAGGTTCAACTCCTTCCGCACTTAGAAGCTTTTTCTTTACTTTTAGTATAGTATCTGAGGTATAAGCTCCTATCTTTATGTCTTTTCCTGTAGAAAGTCTTAGTTTAACTGTCGTTTCTTGTCCACTTGGTTTAGCATCCTTATCATCCTCAACTTCATCATTTAGATTTCCACTCACATCCTCATCTTTTATAAGGTTGGTTGGTTTGCTTATACAGTATATTGGTAGCACGTAGCGATTTCCCAGCTCATCGTAGGCATCTTGTAGACACCCTGTAAGAAAATTGAATGAAACAGTCAATCACACAGATTTGACGAAAAATTGCCTGTAAAAAAGAATTATAATTGACGATATATAGGTGTTGGTGGGATGTTGGTAGAGTAATGGTTGATTGTTGGTGGGACATTACTACATTGTTACTTGGTGTTATGTTTTTTTAGGGTTTTGACTAATGTGCTGTCTTTCACTGCTGTGAATCCAACGGGTCAGGTTGCTGTTTCAAGCCCTGTGGTCGTCACATGTGAATTGAGTGTGTTTGATGTGTTGTTTTCTCCTATGCTACGAAGATTTTCTCTGGGTTCCGGTTTCCTCGCTCCGTAAAAATCAACATGTGATGAGTTGAGCATTGTGTGCAAAGAATATTGAATGAAGTGGTAGTGCGTGTGAGCAAAAAGTGTCCCCAATTAATGTGAAAGTGCTAGAAGGAAGTTAAATAAAGATATTTATTTATTTTTTAAATTTAATTAAGGAACCAGGAAACAGATAAAATATAGCATGGGATCCGGTAAACTAGATTTTTTTTTACATGATTTAGGATATTTTCATTGGCCATGAGTAAGGAATTACTAAATTCAATATGGAGGATGTGGGATTTTGCTAAATAAAATAAAAATTCAAATGCCTTTGTCAATACAATGTATGTTGAATGAGGTTGTCGATGGCAAAGAACAACCCATGATTTGGGATTCCGTTCCCCCCTTCCAGACCCTGAAGTATATCAAATTGACAAGTCTTGCAAACCTTATAAAGAAATCTAAAAAAGCAAACCAAAACTCACTAGATACACCTTGCTGACGAGGCCCAATACAGGCTGAAACAGCTGTCTAAGGTTTCTAGTCAAGCTGGCTCATTTTTTACACGACTTGAAGTTGTGAAAGGCCCATTGACCCTCTTCTTCAGTCGTTTCATACGAGGCTCGTAATTTACATATTACGCTTGTTCTTATACAAACCAAAACTGTTTGGTGTATCTAACAAGTTCACGTAGCGATTGTGATATTGATAAATAAATAGGTAAGAGAGACAAAATGTTTAAAAGACCATTTTTGAATCCATACAATATACTGTTGTCTTCCTTGATTACAGACTTAGCTTCATTCCAGTGTCTATATATTTGCAAATACTAATGATAAAGAAAAGAATCTATGCACAACCTCAACAATACAAACACTTTGAAATTCCCCTGACCTTACCTTGAACATGTGAATGTTTCTCTAGCAAATTTAACTATTAGATAGCTGCTGATTTAAAGCAATATTAAAGCAATAAAAATTTATAAATTGTATTTTAAAAATATCAGGATGCTATCGTGTTCCTGTTCTAAGACCATTTAGTTCATATTACATAATATTATGGACAAATACTTAATTTAGAGCTTTTTGGTATACTATTTCAAACAAACTAACATTTTCTTCTCATTTCTCGAATATATACTCAAAAAGACTTCCTTAAACGAAAGAAAATGTAGTAATATTGTAGCCTAAAGGCTTTTAAGTATAAGATAATCAGTATAGGAAACATTAGGTTAGTAGGAAGTGTTGCTATCTGTCAATCTTCAAACTACAATTCATAAAGTATGAATTACGTACGACAAATGATAAAAAAAAAGCCTACAGTATGTATATCTAATATAGTAACAAGAAATAAAAAGATTCCGAAATACAGAGTAAGAAATAAATAGTAAAACATTTGCATAACAAATTAAGAAGAGGATTTCGTTAAATTTAGTAATTCTAAAAAGCGAATCAATAAACTTTGTCCTAATAAATTGAAATCATAAACAATGTTCTAGCTATCGCTGACAAAGGACTTAATCACAAACAAACGAAGCCATAGTCATAAAATTATGAAACCAAAGCGGATATAAAAGATTCAGAAGTTATATGATTCAAGGCAATGGTTTCATGAAGCAAACTTCTACAGCATTAATTTATTAAGTTTAGCAAGTAATATTCGTATTTACCCGTCGGTAAAGTTATGTTAGCGCCATCAACTATAGCTTGAGCAAGAGTATGGTCATCGGTCTCTGCAGCTGCTCTAAGAGCATCCCAGATTTCTCTTCTGCCTTCAAAGGCAGGGGCTGTCTCCCAAAATTCATCTCTTTTGCTTCTTAGTTGTCCTTCGGTCAGAGGAACTTCTGAACTCCACGACGGTCTCTCTTTCTTCAAAGGTTGATTCCGGCCGACTGTAACTAATAATAACAATCATATCCTCAATATCGCTATAATCGGGGTATTCTCTGGGTTTGGAAGGGAAATATTCGGATCATGATGTTGACAGCCATATTACACATCTACCTACCTCCTGGAGTACTCCCGAATTCACTCGAGCTAACACGGACACTAGGATCTCCCGATGTTCCCATACAACCCCCCATTTTATCCCTAAAGATGTGATCTACGATTTAAAGATATGTACCGTGGCCATACGGCCACAGAAGTTAGGAAAAAAAACCCTTTTTAACCTGGCACTTTTTTTTGCTCAACTATTGAACTTGAAAGTACTCATATTGTGTTCAAATGACGTCATGACCCCCTTGGGCGTGACGTCACTGCAACTTGATTGACAGACGTTTTATTTATTTATTTTTATTTTCCATTTTTTCTTCCATTTACACTCTTTCAAAAATGAAAAAGGAACTATTTTCTCTTGAAAAATGAAGTAATCTTTTTTGGCAAAGGAAATTATGGAGACATGATGAGAAAAGGATTGAATAAACTCGTATAACGTGTCGAAAGGAGAGTCGTACCGGAAGTGTAACTTTTAAAAATCATTTCAAGGCTTTTTTCGTAAAGTTAGCTTTGATTTTCATCTTAAGAGCTTAGGGACATCACTCTATTGTTATACTTGTCTATTTAATAACACTACTTCTAAGCTAGGGGCTAATATAGGCCACAGTACCAGAAGAGGCCCTCGGTAGAATACATATGCGCGTTTAGGAGCCGATTTCGAAAATCTTTAAAAAGCTCTGAAAATTTTGATATTATTGGAGTAGTATCCAAGCTGTGACTCTGGGAATAAGTTGTGCTATTTTGCTCGGGGAAAAAATGGATTGAACGCAATGAGAAAAGAGCGCACTGAGAGACGTAAAAGAACCACTGAGGACTTAAAAACCCTGGCCGTGACTACCCTCAGTGCTTAACACCTCTCATTCATGACTCATTGAAAAAAAGAAGCGCCTTCGAATATACATATAAATTTATAAATTTTAAATAAATCATAAATCATAATAGAATCTTAAAATCTGATTTTCTTCTGCCACTAGGGTCTATTAATTTAATTAATTTACTATTAGTCCAATAGCAAGTAAATTCTCTCCAAGAAATTTCTGTATTAAATCAACTGATTCAGAACGTAACACCGTAACCGTATCACAGGCAACGTTTGCTTTGGGCTTCCTGTGTGAGCATGACATGTATGACTTAGCCCACCCTACTGAGTTACAAAAACGGATCTTTGAATCGAGGCTGGTGGCTCAGAACAAGATGGCGTTCTCCTTTCAAGCTCCAAGTAATTGAAACGTTATTCACATTTTCTTACTAATTTCTTCACGATTTTTCAATATGAATATAACCCGTATCTTCCTTTCTTTACCTAGAACACAAATCAGCAGTCTCCCAGCCTCAGGATGAGTGGACTGTACGAGAAAAGCTCTGCCTTGCGTCTTCTGTGTTGAGAAGTGGTGATCAAAACTGGTTGGTTTGAATTTTAGATTTTAGATTTTTTTTAGAAATCATAAATAAAAAAGCTTATCTTAATTTCTAGGGAGTTGCAAAGATTCTTCTGGGTTTTAAATTTTATTAGCATCATGTCATGCAATTCTAAACTAATTAATTTTAATTTTTAGGACAGTGTTAGTATAAGAACCAAACCTATTGATGGATTGCAAGCATTCCCAAGGGAGTCAAAAGACAAAAGCATGGCGGCCATTGTGGTGCCGTTAACAATGGATGCTAATGAGAAATCTTTTGTTAAATGGCACCAACATGGCCACGATGACGTAACGTGCAATCGAAGAATAGCTACATTCTCTATAGTCGATTTCCATTGATTCTATAGTATAGTCTCTATAGGATCTATAGTGGACTCCAGTAACGTCTCTATAGGTTCTATAGTCTCAATTGAATCTATGATCGACTCCAGTAATGTATTCTTTGTTTGCACGTTATGTCATTGCAGCCATGTTGGTACCATTTAACAAAAGATTTCTCACTAGCATCCATTGTTAAAGTGTATATGACACGAAAACATTTCATCGTCTAAAATGTATAGTTTGTTAGTAATAATAAATATATCGTAATGAAATTTGTTTCAAAAGCTTATTTCTTGAGATATGTGAGAAAATTAATATCAATTTGTGACGTCATTTTGTTGACACGTACTCTAGATTCAGTAGTAATGCACAAAATATAAATTGTAATTCGTATAAAATAACAACAAAAGGCATATTTTATTCAATTTCATTTGATAGCTTACGTAGTACTTTTCAAATGTTGGGAAACTGAAAAGTATACTACCTGAAATTAAGATTCTACATTTAAACATATTTCGTGTATTTGCAACTAAATCTGGAGACTTGTAAACAAAATGACGTCACAACTTGTGCTAAATTTTCTTGAATTTCTAGAGAAATACGTTTTTGAAACAAATTTAACTGTGTTATTCTTATTAATGACAATAAAATTCACATTTTTAACATTAAATTTTTTTCGTGTCATATGTACTTTAACAGTACCACAATCACAATGGCCGCCATGTTTTTGTCTTTTAACTCTCTTGGAAATGCTTGCAACCCATCAGTCTATAGGTTATATAGTCCTCTAAGGTCTCTATAGTCTTTATAAGTTATATAGTCCAATCAGTCTCCAAAGATTTCATAGGTTCTATGTACTCTACAGATAGATAAATGAGTAATAGGCCCTTTACAGCTCAGTAATCACGTGCTGATTAATTCACTGAGAGCAAATGAATGAACATCTTGATTCCCATGGGTGAAATATACTGGTGAGCAAACAAACTTTCTACAACCTGTTTCGAGAGATCGTAATAAAACTGCATATCGTAACACACTGGATACACATCGTTTCATTCAGTTCTTTACAAGTAGCTAAAAAGAATCACCAATTTGAAATGAAATAGAAAATGTTGCTCACCAGTACAGACACGTGATCGTTAACTGCAAAGGGCCTATTATAGATAATTGAATTAGTGTAAAGTAGAAGTAGTGTAAAATTAGCTGTATATAAGTTATTTTACAATAACTTAGAAATTTATCTCGCGCTGATTGGTTATTTTTTATCATCAATAAGAGGACAGACAGATAAAGCTGACGTCAACGAGCGTGCGCTCTTTCTGTTGGTTGTTTTGATCACTAAAAATGAGAAGTTTTTATCATTTTTGTTATTGTAAAAAACAAATAGACATCAGATTGTTATGTGTCTGTCCTCTTATTGACAATAAATTTCGCTATTACATTATCAAAGTAGTATGCGGATCCACTCGGCTACGCCTCGTGGGTCCACACTCCTTTGACAATGTGATGACACAATTTATCGTCAATAAGAGGACAGACACATAAAAATCTGATGTCAATTTGTTAATTCTGTTTTGCTTTTTTAAGGGTATCTGTAAGCAGAGCTATTAAGCCTATCAATGAGACAGGCCGGTGTGGAAAAATACGTCCCCCTGATTTCTTCTCGCAGAAGGTAAGCCCGCTGATAATATTTTTGAACTAGTGTTTTCTTGCAGGTTCTTGTCACTATATTTATGAATAGATGATTCTTCAAACATTGTGTAGTTCCAGAGGTACCGTTCCAGAAATTATCCATACCCTCCCCACAGAGGAATTTGGAATATTTCCGAAGGGTGAGGGGTGGTGGGGGTCAGAGAAAGAACAAAATTTACAGAGTTTGTATGGAAGAAAATTGGAATTTCTGGGGATAGGGAGGTGTCTTAAAAAAATTCCTCCGTGGGAGGGGGGGGGGGTATGGATAATATTTGGAACTACACATTTGACATTTTATTTTCCAAGATTTCAGATAAGCTCACATCTTCAGGCAATGTTACGAAATGCAAATGCACAAGAATGGTACATAGTGCATGTGGAAATAATTGACTAACAGAACGATATAGAATACATATGAATCTAATGGAGGAAAAAAACTAAATAAAAAATCTAAAATTTATATGATGATAAAAGGGTAAATTATACACCGTGAAAAGATGAAAAAATGACGAGTAAAAGAGTAAAAGTATAAGACCACGAAGGACTAGCGTCCGAAACGTCTTAAGTTTTTTCATCTTTTCACGGTGTAAAATTTACCCTTTTATCATTACTGTTTCATTAGAAACACCGATGCAGCTCACACTAGTTTTTAGCTAGTTATCTCTTCTTAAAATTTATATTTATTTTTTTGAACTCACTAAACAAGTTCATACAGAAATGTTAACAACAATCTTTTCTTCTCCAGAACTGTGCTATTTTGTACTCTCAGATGCTGGAAAAAGTAAATACACCAAAGTAAGTATTTACATCTTTGCAGTTGTAGATTTTTTCCTTTTTTCTTGAAAAACAAACAAATTAAGACATCTAGCTGCCGTCATGGTGATCGCATTTGCAATCATCTTTATGATATTCGCAATAACGATCACACCAAACCAGTTTCCCGCCATTTTAATCTAGCTAACCATTCTCTTTCTGACTTCATTGTTTTCGGTCTTTCTTTGCTTAACGGCAACAATGATTGTCGCAAGACCAAAGAAATGCGGCTTATTCACCTATTGGGCACTCTTAGTCCCAACGGGATTAATGAACGCTTTATTTTCAGCTAACCTTTTCTTTTGTCTTTTGATTGTTTGTTTTTGTTTCCTTGCCTACCTTG